ATGACGACATCATAGAAAGTAATCACTTGTTAGAATTAGTTTGGTTTATTTAGTTACGGCAACGAGGCACGTGAGTGATCTGCCGAGGGAATAACTGAGATCATCCTGGGAATACTTTTATGCAAAGCTGGACTCTATTTAGATGTTACCAACGTAAAGAATCCTTAAAAACTGCATGCTGCCAACCCGATGGTCATGCCCAAACCCAAGACAAACGAACTAGCAGAGTTTGGTCATTTTATGCGCTCGGCTACTGGAGAAAATATCGTTTATGAATGAAAAAATTCGAATGCCAAGTGCCAGTGGCGGCCTTAGGGGGTGGCGAGCAGGGCAATCGCCCGGGGCCTCGCTCTTGGAGGGGCCTCGCGCAACAACCAAGTAAAAAAAGTTGATATTTAAAACTTTTTATTTTATCCTTGGCTATTAGTTATAACAATAAAATAAATTTAATTTATAGTACAGTATATATTAATATTAATAAGTGCCTACTATTTTAATTCACATACTTTGCACAAAGGACAAGGGCCTCGCAAAGATCTGCCGCCCAGAGCCTCGCAATGGATAAGGCCGCCGCTGCCAAGTGCTTTATGCTGGCGGTGGCAGTAATGGAGCGTCTGTTTCCTGCTATATCATTGTCGAAAGAATTAAGTGAATGTAATATATATTTTTGTAAAATTATGTCCTGTTTTGCAAGAATTATATTTAGTGAATAATTTAAATTTTCTGCCAATAAATGACGCTACGTGTAAAGACAGCAAATCTAATGTAAATAGAAATTGATTTATTTACAGAAATTCAATAGATCTTTAAGGTAGATGTACAACATTACCTAAGTCAGAAGAATTTGTACGTAATAGCGAGGGAGTGTATAGCGAACAAACAAACATCCAAATAAACAAACAACTTAATTTATGTATTTATATAGACGAAAGTATGAAACTCCATGAAAAAATATTTAGTCATAAAATAAAACTTGTTAAATTGTATCTCGTTATACTAAGTTAACTTTTTGTTTGTTTGTTTGTTGTTTAGTTATGGCAATGTAACATTTGGGCGATCTGCCTGGGGGTGCCCTCCGGGTGGTCTTTTTAAGTGAATCTGGACCCTATTTAGGCTTTATGGACGCAAAGAAAATCCGGAAAACTCCACGTGGCCAGCCCGTGTGAGCGAGGCGTAAACCCACAACTGAACTTCCAGTGTTCAGGGTACAAAGATCGCTTTGGGCACAACTTTTTTTATAATGACAATAGTTATTACTGTATTCAACGATATAAACATAATTTTGATAAATAGTCCGGTTATATATGTTTAGAACAGCATACTGTAGTGAAGAGCATAATGTTTGTTTTTGCATATATACGAGAGAACTTCTTGAAAGAGTTATACTACGTATTTATAAACTAAGTAAAGAAATTTTTATCATCACTGGGCTGATATTTGAATAACTTTAGACCTATAAATTCCCACTGTCTTCTGTCTGGCTGCCTGCCTATCTGTCCTTAATCTCTAGAACGGAGTTAGAGAGATGAAAGTCGAAAAAAAAAACCTGGAAAGATAAGATTTTGAGTAGCAGGGCCATTTAACTATACACAAATTTTTGATACATTATTTAAATTTAAATATTTTCTTGAAATGAGACAGATAGATGACCCATCATAATTTTATTGCTAACAAACAAAATATATAGGTGAAAGACACTACTAATTTGAGGCAATAACTATATTTTTAAATACAATAATTTATATAAATATGATTAAAAGTGCAGTCATGGTATTGTGAAGATGTCACAATAAAAATTGCTCGTTATCTTTTACAATTTTGTTCATAAACTCGTAGCTATTCTTAAAATTAGTTTTTCTGTTTTTTTGAATAATTAATAATATAAAAAATCGTGTAATAAAATATAATAACAGATGGCCCCACGCAATTTTAAATTTTGCCGGGACAGTTAATCAAGTCTTCCCACAGTAATTCGATTATAGTTTCAATTGTGCTAGATATTCGAACACTTCTAGAATGCGATCTTTATCAGCTCACTACAGCGAACAAAGCAATTCATGTTCCAATACCCAAATCCCCATTCTGCTGTTGGCAAATGTAATTGCACTACTTCTTCTGCAAACAAGTCAATCTGTTTACTTTCAACTCACAAATTCTTGAAGTCACGACTTGTTATGTCACTTGTGGCTTTTCAAACCCACTGAAGACATTTTTTCTAACACTTCACACTACAGATCGGAAAAGTTTGTTTACAATACGAGGAGTGTTCAAAAAGTATCAGACCTTTGGTCGGCAAAAATACATTTATTGATTTTGAGGTACAAAACCCTAATCCCCTTCAGAGTAGTCTCCTTGGTAATGTACAGGTAACCCTCGTATAACACGGCACTTCTATAGCACGGATTCACTCTAACACGGTTCGAGAATTGGTACCATCCCCCGTATAACACGGCACTTCTATAGCACGGATTCACTCTAACACGGTTCGAGAATTGGTATCATCTCCCGTATAACACCGTACTTTTATAGCAGGGATTCACTCTGACACGGTTCGAAAAATGGGTAAAACCCTCGTACAACATGAAATGTAATAAATTTTTACATACTTAAGTACTAATAGTTCACAAAAATTATTATTTTCGTGAACTATTAGTACTTCAGTGTATAAATTTTCTTTTCTCGTCTGCATACACATGGTCCTTCGCGAAAATTGTTTCAATTTTGCCATATCTAGACGCTTCTGCTTCTGTGTTGCCAGATGTTTTTCCCTTATTCCATAATTGCTTAGCACCATATAAAGAAAATTTATAAAGATCTTTTAACTAGAAGCAAGCAATCTAAAATTACATACACTTTTTGCAAAAGGTAAAGCATGAATCTGAAAATAATGCTGAAAAATGCTCAGAGGATAACGATAACTTGCCAAACATAAAACGCTCTCGATTAAGAGTGCTTTTAGTGCTGACAAAGAAAACATTGTTTAATTTATATTAATATGCATCACTTAAGAAAATTTTAATAATGATATTTAACTTAATTACGAAAATATAGTAGCGTGTTTTTTAAGTTTTGGAACCTAACCCTACTTTTCGTACTAGTTCTTTGATTCGCATAACACGGATTCGCATAACACGGCAATTTTTTGGAACGTAACTACCGTGTTATACGGAGGTTACCTGTATACACTTCGCCCAGCGGTCCTGCCATTGCTGGAAACACTGCTGAAACGCATCTTTTGGAATGGCNTAGTTCTTTGATTCGCATAACACGGATTCGCATAACACGGCAATTTTTTGGAACGTAACTACCGTGTTATACGGAGGTTACCTGTATACACTTCGCCCAGCGGTCCTGCCATTGCTGGAAACACTGCTGAAACGCATCTTTTGGAATGGCCATCAGCTGGTCCGTCGCATTCCGCACGATGTGTACTCTTTACTAAAATCGAATTCCTTTTAGTGACATTTTCAGCTTAAGAAATAGCCAAAAGTCGCACGGAGCCATGTCGGAAGAGTATGGAGCGTGACGAACCACAGGAATGTTGTGTTTGGCGACGAAAGTCCGAATCAGAATGGGCGGGTACGTTATCATGATGGGATGCCAAGATTTGGTTTACCACAGATCCGGTCGTTTGCGTTGCACAGCATCACAAAGAGTAAGATGGACCTCCTGGTAGTACTCTTTTGCGAATGTTTGGCCGTGTGGTGCGTACTCACGATATACTACCCCACGGCAGTCGAAAAAAAACTGTCAACACGATATTGACATTGCTGCGTACCTGCCGCGCTTTTTTTGGCAGCGAGGATTGTCCCCGAATGCCTGCTGAATCTTGCGAATGGTTTCCGCTTGGATATCGCCAAGCTTTTGGCAAAATTTGATGCAATATCGCTGCTCACGTTGTTCAGTCATTTTCCAACTTAGTGGAATCCGACGAGCGCTCACTACACGTCCTCACTCATGGGCCGACTGCCAGCGACTGACGCTTTCTGCAAGCGGGAAAAAATTCAGGACTGTGCATGATGGTCCCCTTCACAACTCCACCGAATGAAACCTCCCGTGCATCATTGGTTTACGCGGGAAAAATAAAGGTCCGATACTTTTTGAACATTCCTCATATAACGAAGAACATCGCCACAATTGTTCTGTTTATAAGTTTCTTGCTTCAACTTTTTATGTGTTATAGCAATAACACAAAAAGTTGACAATCTCTTTCAAACCTTACTGTAGGAAATTTTTAAAACTATTGAACCAGTTCGCAACAATTAGATTTAGGCCCTATAATTACAAATAAAATTTGTTAGCGTAACGAAAATGTACATATACATGTACAATATTTATGGAATAATAATTCAGTAACTTAGTTACATACAAAGTTTATATGCAAAAGTAAAGAGTAAATAATATATCTTTCAAATCGTATAAAGATGTAATTGTGAAATGTCAAAAAGTTTTATAATGATAATACTATACACATTCCACATCTATGACCGTTACTATTGCACACTGCAGAAGCATTTCAAAATACTGTAGTAGCATTGCTTAACGTGCAATCGGTTAATTATTTACATATGTCATTAAGATAGCGGTATGCCGAGTCTCGCAATAATTAGACAATTGTTTCTGTGAAAATAAAGTTGGACCCTTTTCTAGATACATAACGAATGTTATTTTTAATTGCAGATCATTGCATAATGAAACCAGACATTATAAGAAGAAAATTATCAACAATTTTTAAACGTTTAGGAACGGCGATTGGAAAACATCCATATATTTTTATAATCATTCCTGTATTATTAGCAATTGCTTCAATAGCTGGACTCTTTCAACACAATTACAAGAGAAATCTAATTGACAGTTTAAAAGCCGATAGCGGAAAATTTTTTTCTGTACAACGATTTATTGAAAAAACGTGGAAATCGGCATCAGTTTCTGATAAAATTAGATTTTCTGATGAACCAACTGGAATCAAATTATACTTTATAAGAAAAAATGAAGAAAATATGTTAGAAAGAAAAATTCTTCAAGAATTAAAAGTGGCTGATTCCATAGTTAAAAATATCACCATCCAAATGTTTAATCGAACAATTGGATACGCTGATATTTGCGTTAAAGTGCGTAACAAATGCTTCGAAAACACACTTTTTGAAATAATGTCCGATGCGGAAAACGTGTTAAATCGTAGAAGGTTCAAATATCCCGTAGACATAGACAACTTAACTTATTCTTATCGTTCATACGTGATGAATTTGGGAGGCGTTACAACCGACGTAAATGATTACGTCAAAAGTGTCAAAGCCGTCAGACTGTTCTACGTAGTTGACAGAACTGACGAAGAAAAGGCTCCATTCATTGATAATTGGATAGCCGAAGTGTATCGACGAATACAAAATTATAACTTTCAAAATGTCAAACTATTAATAGATCCAGTTTGGTCTATTAAAGAAGATACTAAACTATTATTGTACAATTTAAAATATATGATAGGAGCGGTAGTATCGTTTATTTGTATTTTCTCGATGTCTTCATTCATGAGTCAGAATTTGATAAGAAGCAAACCTTGGATGGGAGTAGCCAGTGTTTTGTCTCCGGGAATGTCAATCGTCACTTCGTTCGGATTACTGGGATATTGCGGAGTAGAAAACACTTACTGTAATATTTGTATACCGTTCTTAGTGCTAGGTATGATTTTTTTAATTATACATTATATTATAATAAACAAATGTATGATAAGATTGCTTTATTACGTTGCAGTTACCGAAGTGGACGACGGTTTCGTGATGATTGCGAATTGGAGGATTACCGATCCCGAAAAACCTGTAGAAAAGCGAATGGCAGACACATTTGCCGCAGCGGGGGTGTCAATCACCTTAACGTCAGTCACTAATTTGTTTTCGTATTGCATCGGAATGACTACATCAATTGTTGTTGTGAAGATCTTTTGCATTTACTCTGCAACCTACATTATGTTGTGTCTACTTATGTTTTTCAAATAACCTTCTTTGCTGGATGTATGGCGTTAAGCGGGTACAGAGAAGAAAAAGGTCTTCATCCAATTACATTCAAGTCGTATGGTAATTTTAAATATTAATATATATATATATATATATATATTATTCTGTCGTATAAGAATTGCTTTATCATAAGAACCCGAGTCCCACCCCTCGAAATTTTTAAAATAAAATCTTAATATCGCAAGATCAGATGCGAATTACCTTTCTTAGGTGTTAGGAAAAAAATAAAGTTCGTGGGACTTCTGGCCATTTTTAAATTTATCATCATTTCCATCCAATGACAAAGTTAGCGAGTCTTACCGACTCCGATAACTGTTCGACAGATCGTCCTTATTGAACTCACAATTTTTTTTTTTTTGAATTTTTTAAAAAGTTTTCTAGAAACATTATTGTAAATATTCGGACTTTAATTTAAACATTTAAACTTATAGATTCAAAACAATTACAAAATAAAAGTCTTAAAATGTCATTTAGTTAAATGATTTTACTTTAAATAATTTAAATAAGTTAAATAATTTTTAAGGAAATAAAAATAAAAAAAATTAACTAATATAATTTACAGAACAAAGAAGAGAAGATTGTCAAATCATCCCAGAAAACGAACACGTCTTCATGAGAATAATGAGGGATAAATTCGGAGAATTCATTAACCGTACACCAACAAAAGCAGTTGTATTGATTCTGTATTTAATCAACTTAGGATTTGGAAGTTACGGAGTGTAATTTCTAGAGCAAGGATTAGATTTTCAAAATATGTATCCCTCCGATTCACAAATATACGAAAGTTTACGAGTATATTACAAATACTTTACTGAATACTCATTTCCTATTCATATTATCATTAACAAGACACTCGATTATTCGGACGAAAAGGTTCAGGAATCGGTGGAAGATCTCCTCAGAAGATTCGAGTCTCATCCTCACGTTGCCGATTCACGTTTGACCGTTTCCTGGCTGAAATATTACAAAGAATTTCAAAAAAATCCAATTGCTAAATATGCCTTAAGAAGATACAACGTGTCGAATAAAAACGATTTCGTTGAAGGACTTCGAGAAGTTTTCCTACGATTTAAAGCAGCCGAACAATTTTCAAACGATTTGGTATTCAGCTCGGATGGCTCGGAAATTACTTGCAGCCGATTCCTTGTTGTGGCGAAAAGAATATCTAACAGAAAAACTGAGATTGCGACTATGAATGAATTTTTGAAAATTGCAAATAAAGCACCTTTCTCTGTTGTTATTCATCACGTATTGGCAAATATCATAGAACAGGGAGTCATCATCGATGGCATCGCTAAACAACTGTTTTGGATAACTGGTTTATTGATCGCGATTGTATTTTTCAGTGTGATTCCTAATATATTGTGTTCACTCGTTGTGGCAGTTTGTGTTGTGTCTACCACGATACAAACATTGGGTTTAATGAGCGTGTGGGGAGTTAACTTAGATATAATATCGTTGACGACTTTGATTCTGTGCGTCGGATTTTGCGTCAATTATCCGGCTCATATCGCGTATGCATTTGTGGCGTCAACATGCAAAACACCGAGAGAAAAGATGAAGGATTCGTTGTATCATGTTGGCTTTCCTATAATTCAAGGAACTTTATCTACTATTTTAGGAATACTTTTTATATATAAAAAAGCGTACGTATTACTTTCGTTTCTGAAAGTTGTTTGTTTAGTTACAATGGAAACGGCCTTTCACGCTTTGTTTTTTACTCCAATCGTTCTTTCTTTGTTATATTCCTGCCCGTGTTTACGAGAAAAAACAAATGCTAGAGGCGTAACGATGAAATTAATTGAATTAAAAGTGGGTCAACAATAATAGTTAATGGACTAATACAAATATTATCGCCTATGTTATAGTTTTAATGTTTGTAATATTCGGATACAACTAATATCATTATTTTTTTAAGTGCTAATGTTTTTATATTGTTCTGTTACTTAAGAAAAAACAATTTTATTGTGATGTCATGCATTATATACACATTGATCTGTATTTCATAACTGTGGAAGCTCTTGTGACATATTTTTGATAAGTATATCGCATTGAAAATGTTTTTGAGCTACTTCTTGTCTTATTGTTGAAATTATTTGTATTACGGTATTGGGCAATAAAATATAATTAGAGACGTTCTGCCGTTGCTGACAACCTGATAAAGTCAATTTCCAGATTTTAATAAATAATGTTCAAGTATTATTTAAAAAATTAACGAACTTTTAAAAATTATGAAAGCTTTAAGAGATTTTAAACAAAATTTAAAAAATGGATTTACCTTAAGTGAAATTTAGCAATACATGTTACTATAATTAAAGACCCTAGTGCAAAAAGTGCATAAGTCATACGGTACACAAAGTGTTGCCGCGATGAAATTTTAAAACGTACTGAAGCCAAGGACTTTAAACTACAAGGATAGCCAGATCCCGTATATTTGTTAACATGACCTTGGATCTATGTGACGTCACAGCAAGTCCTCTACTTCAACACGACAGACCTTTCAAATAACAAAATACGATAAAATATTAAATCATTTCTTAATTAATTATTAAATTACTACTAAATGTAAACTACTGTAGAATTTTCGGATTTAATAAGTGTACTGTACGTCAATAAATTTACAAGTCTTTTGTCTAATATTTATTTAACAAATTAATGAGCTATATTTTTTATTATGTGATTATCTTACTTAACTTTTTAATTTTTTTTCGACAATCACCATTTTCAGAAGGCATTCTTTTCAATATTTTATAGTTTTCTTGTTTAAGATTTCTATAATTAATTCTTATTATAGTTCTTAATTTACAAAAATCTTTTATTAAAGTAAAAGGTAAAACTGTTTCCACTGACTAATTCTGTACAACTCCGGGGCCTTTTTTATACGATTCATCGTGATATATTTCGAAATATTTATTCCATTCTATAATTTTTGCTAGCCATTCATCAGTAGGTTTAATAAGCCCTCCATAAGATAAATGTTGCACCCATGACGGAATGCTATAGTTGTAATGATTTTTAATTTTGTTAGTGGAATTAATTAAGTTTGGGTATTTTTCTTTATATTTATAGGCAAAATATCCTGCTATATACTCGAGAGCATCGTAGGAAGTTTCTTCAGAGATTGTGTTAAAGTCTAGATTGCATGTAGAGTTTCCTGAAGATTTATTTGAAGAAAAAGTAGTTTTACATTCAGTATATTGGTCTGTATTTTCACTTGATACTTCTACATGTGCTTTCTCTAAAACTTTGGGTATAATATATTCCTCTTGTCTTCGATCTGTAGTATTTACTTTTGACTCTAAAATACCAGGATTCTTACCTAAAATAATCAATCTAATCCTATATATAGCATTTAATGGGCTTGGATGTTCATTAGGACCCCGGCTTCTATTTTAAAAAAAAAAGTTTTCCAGACAATCTTGATTTAAATTGTGAGTGCAGATGTATTTTATATCAAAAGTCGATTTCATATCTTGAAAAAGATCAATTAGCGATTTCATTGAGATTATCATTCCTTTCTGGAAAATTTGGAGGGCATTTTTTCCACTTGCTCTCATTGTTGAGATTATTTTTATCATTTTATTTAAATGTTCTTCTTGTAATTCCAAGTCTACACCATATCCATTTTTGCTTGGAACAGAACCTTTTGGTGCATAGCTATTATAAATGTCGAACCACATATTTATATCTCTAATATACGTTTCATTGATAATAATAATTGATTCATAATAAACGTTTCATTGATATTTCACATTCAATTCTTTCCATAAACTAATGTTACTGCAACTACAGTCACTAACGCGAGCTACTACATTATATGATAGTAAATAAAGTTCTGCTATTAATTTTAAAAGTATTTCTCTTGTCATTTTTTGATCAAACCCGATGTTAATAGGTTGCTTCCAATTTGAAAAAAGAAGGTTATTATTGCAACCATACACAGCACACCTAGTACTCAGTACTTTGTTCTTCACCTAACATAAAAATATAGCTTTAAATATTTAATGACTTATATTTAAATCATCTTACCTTATAAAAAACTTAGTCAAATAAAACA